TTCTTCTTCTTCTTCTTCTTCTTCTTCTTCTTCTTCTTCTTCTTGCCTCTGTCGATTTGGAGTCTGGCTGTCAGAACGGAAAGGGCATAAATCGTCTTTCTTCTGACCGGAGGACAATATCAACATTTTTATGGTGCATTAGAAATGTAGACTTTCTCATTATAGAAAAATGGTCTCTGGTGAACACGTTTTAATTGAGTTTTCTGCTTTAAGACACAGGAAGGAGAGAGGAAACGCAGCCATCTCCGCCTCCAATTAATTAGAGAGTAACAGATTTCTCTCCCTTTCGGCTCCCTCCCACCTAATAATTCCCTGGGGAATCTAGTTATGATGAGATATTGGAATTGGAGGATACACCATGGACCCCTTTGAGACCACCGGGAAGTAGAAGGAAGACAAGGGAAGATGGCAAACGTCTCTTCCGAGAAACACAGCCCGTATGTATAAGACAAATGCCTTCCAGTCAATTTTCACTCCTGCTGATTAGATGAAGGTGTACGTACAAGTGTTTTGGGGGAGTAATAGTAGGCAAGCTGTATTTTATTTTATTGTCATTCGATTTCTATAGCTGCCCATCTCAACAAGTGATTCGAGGTGGTGTTACATCCTAAAACATAAAAAACAATTCAAACGATGAAAGGAGAACAAAATAAATATATCTTTAGAGGAGAATTATTTGTAGCTCAGGATTGAATTGTGGAGTCCTTTGGTGCTTCCTTGAACTTGGTGGTTTTCTTTCAGACATTTCATTACCCAACTAGGTAACATCATCAGTGTTAGAAGGGAGGTTCCAGTCTTCTTCATGGTCTTAGAAAAGACCAACAGGCTTGGGGTCCTTCTGATATCTGAAGGGGAAATATTTTAGAGGGCAGGGGCTGTTACAGCATGGGGAATTCTGGGAATTGAAGTCCACAAGTCTTAAAGTTGCCAAGTGTTCTGACCCAGGCTTCCCGAGACCGTAATTAAGCACACGCTTAGTTAAAACAACTCTTGTTTTATTTCAATGCTGGGAACTATGTTCATTCCCAGCCTGTCATGAGTCCCAAACAGTCCCTCAAGATAAGCACCCACCTTTCTCTCCTTTGAACTGCTGCCAACAACTAAAGAACTAAATGAACTATAACAAAACCAAGTACAAAGTCCACACAGAGCTTCAAGGATTAATCTGAACAGAGTGAATGACTTTGCTTCTTGCAAAGATTTCTCTACCTTTGCCTGTCCTTTATACCTTAGGGGAGGGTTAAAAAAAAAAAAAGCGAAATACTTCTCACACATCATCACAAAATCTCCAGAACTGTAAAGCCTACAAACTTGAAATTGGGCACATAGGTTCCTCTTGGCTTCTAGGGGCTCACTAAGAAAGGATTTTTTGAAACGACCATCAGAGCATTTAGAGTATTTCCTATATTATTATTATTATTATTAACATGCTCTGATGCTAAGGAGTTCTACTCCCCCTCCTTACCTGAAAAAAAATCTGTTCCAAAATGCAAAACACAAGCAGAGGAGAGGAGTTTCAGTTTCAGTTTCAGTTTCACAGCGGTAACCAGCTTTAGGACAGAACAGTTGAGCTAAGCCATGCCCAGGCTCCTTGCTGTCTCCTTCTTGCTCACACAGCAAATACTGTTTCACTTTCCAAACAGCCCTCAACTCTCTCACACACTGACAGGATGCTAGCCAGATGAATACTAATGAATGCTGGTAGGCTGAGGCAGATTTTTTCTCTCCTTATTTTCCTCCCCCAAAACTAACATAGTTTCGTAGCGAAGCACGGGTATCGGGCTAGTTATCCTATATTCTGTGTCCTATCAACAATGGTGGATGAGCACCATACCGGAAGGTAGCAAGCTCAAAAAGCGAGGTGAGGAGATGACACGTGGGGTCAAGGTTTCCAAGTGATGAACTCCATTTAAAAATGGATTTCGTGGCCTCCTAAAAGTTGAAATGTCTAGCCTGCCACATCTTCTGTCTGAGACGCTGAAGACACACAACCTCATGCAGAGCCAACAGATTATTTTCCCTTCCCACATAAGCTGAACTAGCCCTTGTAGTCATCTTACAAAAAAAAGAAGAAGAAAGCAGAGTAAATGTGTTTTTTTTAAAACTTATACGCTTTAGGATTGTCTATGTTTAAGAGACATAACTTCGGTCCGAAGCAGCCGGTGAGTCAGGTTATTAGAGACTCGTCTACTTCATCTGTTATTCATCGGGGAGACAGACAATCTCCCCTTAATTTACTCCTCCCCATCTGTGCTTTACAGCCTGCAGGAGACAGAAAAAAAAACGAGTGAATTTTTAAGTGAGTATGTACAAAGGAAGTGGAGGAGGGAAATCAGAAAGCAGGAGTGAAAATCTGCCATGGATTACGGATATCCTCTGAATCGACTCTGTGGGCAATTTTAAACTTAATCGTCTGAGACTTTGTAAAGCCAACAGATCATAGATTTTCTAGTTTATTGTTTATGGGTGTTTATTGGTTCCAATATCTCAGGGGCTGCCCCAAAGAAGAGGGAATCAAGCTATTCTCCAAAGCACCTGAAGGCAGGAGAAGAAGCAATGGATGGAAACTAACCAAGGAGAGAAGCAACCTAGAACTAAGGAGAAATTTGCTGACAGCGAGAACAGTTAATCAGTGGAACAAATTGTCTCCAGAAGTTGTGGATGCTCCATCATGGGAGATTGAAGTGGTACAGGGTTTCCTGGTTGGACTAGAAGACCTCCAAGGTCCCTTCCAACATTGTTAGTCTATTATTTTGGTGTACACACCACCTTGGCAAGAAGGACGGCTACCTAAATCAAGTAAACAAACAAACATGCACAAACCAGGTGTATGATAGAGAGGAGGAGAGAAACTCAAATCAATCTGAACCCTCTGTGGAAATCCAGTACATCAGGATTAAATTTTTAGGATGTCACAGACAACCCTGAACAGTTTCTTCCCAGAAAGCACGCTGCCTACCAGAGGCGCCTCTTTCCATTAAACTGAAAAAGCCAAATATTTCTTTCTTTCTTTTTTTGGTGAGGCCTGCAAAAAATCAACTCCTCTTCTTCCTCCCCCGCCTTTGTTCCAACTCCTGCCAAATTGGAGGCAGGACTTTCTATTATTATTAAAGTTTTTGGAAGGCGTAGCGTAGCCCTGTCCGCGCTCCATACAATGTTTGTAGAGGTTTTCCTCCTGAACCATCGCAAGAGAGAAAACAGGGGAGCTTGGAAAAAGGTAAAAAGAAAGAGAAACGATATTCCCTTTTCCTGTCTTAAGTTCAGGAAGCTTGTTGTTAAAAGTGCTTATTTTCTGAGTGGGTGCTTTCCCCCCCCACCCCCCAACCCTAGTGAAAATTGGTTCTGGTTTTCCTCAGATTTCAGTTCCTCTCCCTTGCTGAGCGACGTAGCTTTTTACAGCTTTCGGGCCAGGAATTGTGAAACTGGGAGAACGAAAACATCTGGGGCTTTTTTTTTTTTTTTGCGTAGCGTATTTGAGGGAGGAGGGTAATGGCTGCAAAGAATTGGAAGGAAGGAGTAAGGATTACTCTGGAGCAGAAAGGGAATGGTATGAGATTTGCTTCTTTTGGGGGGTTTTAGCAGAGGACAAACCAAACTTTTGTCAAGTTTGCTAGATTTAGACTCCCGGTTGGGATTCCTGACGGCTTCAATTCATGGCTGGATTTCAAGCATATCGAGTCTGCTCTCCAGATTTTGCTGTGAATTTTTTTTTTCTAGCAGCCACTAAGCTCAGTAGTGAAAAAATACAAGGAGAAGAGGTTCTTCTCCTTGGCTCCTACCTAGAGAGATCTTGAGGCCACCTTCCTCATCATCCGTTGTTTATCAGATGGGATAGACTCTCAGCACACCTGGGAAAAGCCAGCCGTTTAAATTATTTGTTGGTTTTGTGATCATTACTTTAGTGTGTGTGTGTGTGTGTGTGTGTGTGTGTGTGTGAAACATGAAGCAGTGATTCTAGTTTTTGGAGGTAGCAGTCCAAGTGATGAAACTGGTAGTGGTAAGACTTGAGAAAATGCGCAGGAGGGCCTCTTTTGCAGGATAAAAATTTAACTACAGCACCCCAGGAATCTAGGGGTACCCTGGTGAAGATCCCTACCCAGCCTTCTCCTTCAGCCTTCTCCACCAGCATTGATGCTGGTGCCACTCACTCCTCATGAAGACCCCCTACAGAAGGCAGAATCTAACAGAACAACAGAGTTGGAAGGGGCTTTGGAGGTCTTCTAGTCCAACCCCTGCTCAAGCAGGAAACTCTTCCCCATTTCTGACTGTCCAGTCTCTTCTTAAAAACCTCCAGAGTTGGAGCACCCACCACTTCTGGAGATAGCCTGAAGATTATGAAGGGCAGCCCTACACAAAATACATTGTAGTAGGGTAGCCATGAATTTCTGAAGGCTTGTATGACAAGCCTCCAGTTTTTGTGGGCAGGAAGACTCCTTAAGCAGCAAAGTCCAGAGAAAACAGTCCAGTTACATTAGTGGCAACCAAAATGTGTAACTTGAATTCCAGGATGTGGTTAACAGAAAAGAAGTCCTGGAATCCTGGCTTTACCTTTTACCTGTTAGCTGCCCAGTTCTAACTCCCAAACTCCATGTATTGGGATAAGCTCAGAATGAGGCCACTGTCCTTGGGGGTGTGTGTGAAAGAAGAGAGTGTTGGAAAGGTGTTGCGGTGAGGTGTTGATGATCTACAAGAAAATTCGCCTTCTTTTAGACATAGAGTCATCCTTTTTACAGCAAGGCACATCTTCAGCTAGACAAATGCTAATTGGACAAAGATATTTCTTCCCAACAGAATTGTGAAATCAGCATAGCAGTTCAACAAGATAACAAAAGAAGCACATTCATTGGGAATAGATTATGGCAGTGTTTCTCAGTCTTGGTGACTCTAAGATGTGTAGACTTCAATTCCCAGAAGTAAACGATGTTATAAAAAGGAATAGTATAATATGTAAGATAATATGATGTAATGATATTATATAATTGAACATAATGAAATGAAATGAATGCTCCCAGATTTGTTAAAACTTAGATTCGCTCGATAAGAACTATGTACATTTATAGTTGAATCTAATAATGATACAACAATGATACCATATAATACAATATAATATATATAGTTGACTTATGTAATATGAATGTATGTTTGGAAAGGGAAAACTGTTGATACTATGACATTGCATGAAGGAAATGTACCAGCCAACTTGCTGTATTTTGGAAGATGGTTTTATGTTGATGTTTTATGTTTGTGTTTGTTAGTGTTTGTCTTTAAAAAAAAAAAATTACAAGAAAAAAAATTCCCAGAATTTCCCGGCTGGGGAATTCTGAGAGTTGAAGTCCACACATCTTAAATTTGCCACGATTGAGAAGCTGTGGCTTATGAGGATGTTTTCTTGAGTCTATGGGTTTGTAGTGCTAAACCAGAGCACAGAGTTGGATTCACACAACGTGAGAGCAACATGGAAAGAAACCTCATGATAGGAGAACCTTAAAGTAGGAGAGCTGGCAGTGGGAAATTTTAAACTGGTTACTATGCTACTTAAGATTTATGTCTTAGCTTTCACAGTCTATGCGAAGGACTTATTTCATAATTATTTTAAAAATGTGAGGATCTTTCCTTGATTAAAATTCAGTTGAAAGGTTGAAGGACACCCAGATAAGAAACACATAGCTATATTATGAAATAACACTAGAGACGGCGTTCCTTGCTAGCAGCAATATATTTTTGATGGTCATAGTTTTTTATTATCACTTCATCCATTCAGTGTTGCTGGAGTGATTATTTTTTTGCAGACATCCGAGACAAATTGAGCTTGGATTTGCTATCACACACAATTGTTGGGCAGAAGTCTTGATACCAGATTTGTTAGATTACCAAACTCTGGGTTGGTTCACTCAAAGGCCCATCAGGTGATGCCCATGTTCAACCTCAGGTGATATAACACAGCTATGGGCCGATTGTTGGGTTGGACCAGATCTTAGAAATGTGGAAGATAATCTCCACTGTTGTTGTTTTGCAGCTAAATGGGGAGAAAGCAATGGATCTCTTCACCTGCTTACTAATCACATTGCTCCTCGTGGGGATCCAGAGCTGCCCGGAGGTGTGTCGGTGTGTAGCAAAGAAGAAATATGAGCGATATGTTGCAGACTGTTCTTATCAAGATCTCCAGGTGGTCCCTCAGGACTTCTCCTCCAACACCACCACCCTCACCCTGTCTGTCAACCACATTGCCTCGTTGGGGGAAGAGTCCTTCGCCAACACGGCAAAACTACAAGGTTTGTGGCTCTCCTACAATCAAATAGGCACCGTTGCTGTGGGCACCTTCTCTTTTCTGGTACACCTCCGAGCTCTTGATCTCAGTCACAATCAGATTATTAATTTCCCCTGGAGAGACCTATCCAACCTCACATCTCTGCAACAGCTGAAGCTCAGCAACAACCATCTGGAGAAGATCCCTCCAGAGGCCTTTCGGCCCCTCAAGGATCTTCGTTCTCTCTGGCTCAGTGACAATCGGCTCGCGATTCTCTCGGATGGGACCTTCAGTTCCATGCCTAAGTTAGCTCAGCTACAAATCAACAACAACCCCTTCGATTGCACCTGTAAAATTTGGTGGCTGGATGGATGGCTACAGAGCACGCTGGTGTCGATTCCAGAGAAGAAGTCCGTTACATGTGCTACTCCGGAGACACAGAAAGGCCTCATTCTTGGGAGGTCCTTGAAGCTAGACTGTGCCCTTCCTTCGGTGCAGTTGGTCTATCATTCCAGCTTGGAGAACAGTAAGTTGAAAGATGGGCTTACTCTTCAATTGCACTGCAATGCGGTGGGTAAACCCCCGCCGAAGATCAGGTGGAAAATCCAGACAGCCGATCAACATGTGGCCATCGATGGGCCCAACGTTGAAAGAGAAGAGGACTTGTTGCTAGATCCTGCAGGTTCCTCGCAGAGCAGAGGGCGCTTTCTGGTCTTCAAAAATGGATCCATGGCGGTCACCAAATTCAGCAAGGCCAGCGAAGGTATTTATACTTGCCAGGCCTATAATGATGTTGGCTCTCGTGAGGCTTTTGTCCACGTGGCTTTGACCGACTCTGAGAAACCCACCACTTTCCTCAAGAACCATCTCCAAGCCAGCAAGAATCCAAACAAAACTGGTGACACCAGAGAAGGCCTGACATCCGAAGAAAATGTGAAGTTTGTCTATTTGATTCCTACCATGCCCAAGACTGTTTGCAATGGAGGAACTCAAAGCCAGTTGGGTTTTTGGAGTTTATTTCTGTTCTGCTTGCTTGCCCATTACAGCTAAGACATTTGCAGTCTAGCATCGGTTAGAAAATCCAACTTATTTCTATAGGATGGCCCATGGCAGCTCTTAGTTTAGGTAAAAGTTTCACACTTTGGTTCTTAGATGAAGAATCTTGATTTGAACTGGGGCAGGATTCCCCATATTCTCAAGTAAGAAAAGAAACAGTTAGACAGGTGGACAATGAGAGAGAGAGAGGAAAAAAAATCAAAAACACAGATAGGCAACCCTTTGATTAGGTGAATAGAAGCAGTCCAAAACCTGGCAAGGATTTGAAAGTCCAGAACTGTTTCTCAGGAGAAAAAAATTATAAAGGGAGAAGGGAAAAGGTGACTAATTTCTTGAGGATGCTTATCTTGACTTGGTGGAAATGGTGGAGAGTTTTTTTGATATATAAGCTCAACTTTGTCAGAGACAGAGTAGGACGAGAAAGTCGAATTTAAAGATTTCGGTGTAGGATTCTCACTTCTGAGTATCTGACCTGGCACAATTTAAATCTCTAACTAGAAACGGTCCTTGGCTCCATTTGTTGAGAAAGGCATAATTTTATTAGAGATCAAGTGTATTGTAGTATTGTATAGCCAGAACTGAGAATGGCAGGCCAAAATCGCTAAGTTCTACTTTTCTCTCCCTTAACTGTCTCTTACTGCCAGTCCCAGTGTAACCAATCAGGTTTTCCGGCAAGATGTTTTCATAATGGTCAGTCCTAGCACTGTTTGGTATGTAACTCCCTCCCTCTTCCAGATGAGTTACATTGAGGCAGCGTCTTAAGGAGACACCACACTTACTTTCATTTCCCCAAGCATTTCCCCTTCTCCACAGTTCTGTCACCACATAGCAGTGAAGCACAAGCCAGCATAAGGTGGCAGTTGACAGTCTCTTCCAAAACATCCTGAGAAGAAGCAAGTAAGGGATGATCTACACCAGGGGTGTCCAACCTTGGCAACTTTAAGCCTGGAGGACTTCAACTCCCAGAATGCCCCAGCCAGCTTAAAGTTGCCAAGGTTGGACACCCCTGATCTACACATTCTCCAGATTGGGAAATGGAAAATCTAGCTACAGTCTTCCAAGTCAACGGTGGTGTACTTCTGGAAGCCTTCTTCTATTCCTGCTCTCTGATCTTTTAAACAGGCAAGACCTGGAAAAGATCTTTTGCAGCAAACCAGATACACACTTACACATACACATGTCTCTATCCAGTTTTATTTTTTGAAAGTCCCAACATCATCAAAACAATCTCTCCATCAAATGCCTCCTTCCAGGATTCGACGTCCGGCGGGCCAAGAGAGATGCCCCTGAAGACAAAAGCACACCTTCTCCAAGAGACTAACCATGAGGTTTCGTTTATTATTCATCATAGTAGAAATCAGGTTTCTGTATTCTTTAATTACTCAACATTCATTAGATGTGTGCAGAAGTCACCTGGCCAGCTCCTGAAATTAGAGCTTTTTTTTAATTTTAAAGGAGATGGGCGGGAACCCTACTTGGTCAAGGTAAGAATGAGGAGAAGCAACTCCATAACTAGACATGAAGAGGGATTGTCAAAAAGACTCAACTATGTAGGGACTTTCTCAATATAACCTATTACAACTGGAGGGATTAAAAAATCTGAGATGTGTTTTTTTTTCTTGTGCATATATTTTGATTGTCCAGCTTCTTCTTCTTTGTCTTCGTCTTCTTCTTCTTCTTCATATTTATGACACAACTCTTTTAATTCTACTGTGGAATGGTGGCCACTCTGTTAAACATCTAGACAACCTGGAACAGTGTACGTGGGACTTTAAACAAGTTAAAGCAGCCTGTTCAATGCATTTATACAAATTCTCCATCTCAAACATCAGCCCACTCCTAACATTAAAAAAGAACCCATTATGTACATTTGCAAAACTCTCAAAATCTCCATACTTTGGTCTCTGTTCTGCTTTTAACTTCTAAGCCTACCATCCTTGGCTTTCTTTCTTGCTAAAAGTGAACCCCGCAAGATTTAGGGTGCACCAAGCACTTCAGAGGGCTTTGAAACCCAAGATGTGCGAAGGGCAACATTGACGGGTTAAAAACAAAACAACAACAGGAGAACACAGGCTAAGGAACGTCTTGTTATGGAGAGAAAAAGACCAGCTTTGGACCAATTCCAAAACTTTGCTTTGGGTGTCATGGCCATCAAGAGCCGTTTGTCCTGGGGTGGAATGGGGTGGGGTGGGAAAGGAAAGGAGGACAACTACGCCTCTTGTCATCTTCTAAGTCTACAAAGAGGTCAGGATAGACGCACGAGCCTGAAAGAGGCACGGAGAAGAAGTTGAAGAACCCCAGTTGAAAACTCGTGATGGAATCCATCCATTATCACCGGATGGGAGTCCATTGTTTTCCAAGAAACGTTGCCGGTTCCATCAAGGCTTGGTGAGGCTGGCCTTGGTCCCGTTGGCTGTCGCATCCACGAGGGCCCCTTTGCGATAGGGCAGCAGGGAAGGGTTGTTGAGGAGGGTGTAGGCCAGGCGCCATCGCACCCGGTTCTGTTGGCCCTTTGGTGCTTTGGGTGCTGAACTGGTGGTCTTCATGAGTTTGATTCCTGTTGAGAAAGGAATCTGGTTGAAACGATGGTCTTAAAACAGGAGTCCTCAAACTTGGCCACTTTAAGACTTGTGGACTTCAACTCCCAGAATTCTCCAGCCAGGCTGGAGAATTCTGGGAGGTGGAAGTCCCCAGTCTTAAGGTGGGCAAGTTTGGAGACCTCTGTCTTAAAAGGATGTGTGTGGGGGATCAGCTTGAAGATAATCAGGAAAGAAATTCAGAAGAAGCAAAGATTATAGGGCAAGTCTGAATTGATAGGTTTGTTTCGTGCAATCTGATCCCAGGCTTAAAAAGAAAACCTCGTTAAGAAGATTTTTTTAAAGAAAGATAGAAATATAAAAGAGAGCTGAAGAGGAAAGCGAAAGTATCATTAGTATTATTTGGCCATGTTTCTTTGGAACGTTTTAATACAGGTAGTTCCCGACTTACAATAATTCATTTAGTGACTGCTCAAAGTAATAACCATACTGGAAAAGTAACTTTTTCACACTTATGACCGTTGCAGCATTCCTACTGTCACGTGATCAAAATTCAGGCGCTTGGCAACTGTCTCATACTTACGACCGTTGCAGTATCCTGGGATCGCGCGACTGTCAGGATTCCGGCAGTGGCCATAATTAAATCATGAGCGTCAAGCCAAGTTTCAAAAACGTCAAAGGATTTATTAGGAGCGAACATGTCGGCATGACCTGTGTGTAGCTGACTCTGAGAGATGTAATTCACTGTCACCCTTGACCCTGGTTTTCCCCCACCACCACCCCTCTGGGTGTATTGTAATTTATATTCTCCAATGGGACACATCCATAGCCAAGAGTCATCAATCATGTTCTCCAATTAGAGAAACTCCAGTCGCTTAGTTATAATTTTTGCAAGATATGAATGGAATGCACTTTTGATTCCAAACTGCTGCTCTTTCAAATTCCTTTCCCCTGCCCGCTTTTCTGGTCACGGCAACTCTAAAACGGGCATAGAAATGTTTTATGAGTTGACAGCGATCCCCTTTTGCGACTGTCTGACCAGCAAAGTCAACAGGGAAGCCAGATCTACTTCACAACGGTGTCGCTAACTTAACAACCGCAGTGGTTCACTTAATTAACAACAGTGGCCAGAAGACATAGAATGGGGCCAAACTCACTTAACCACTGTCTCATTTAGCAAACAGAAATTTTTGGCTCAGTTGCAGTTATAATTTGAGGACTATTCCTTTTATTTTCGAGGAAAGTTTGGAGTAACTTTGGGCAACTGTCCGTCCATCTTTCTCCACTTGCCTACCGTAGCTCCTGGACTCGATCCTCCTCGGATTGAACTCTTACCTTCTTCTGTGTCTCTGAGTTGGAGGGTCTGCATATTTTGGGCACTTTGCCAATGGAGGAGCAAGAGGCAAAAGGCTTTCATTGCTGGGTGTGATTGGCTGACCTCGATTTTCAAATATTGGCAGTAGGTACGGTGGCCTGCAAGAAAGAGACGGATGCAGAGGTGGTCTTCAGCCAGTTCTGACCAGTTCTGGAGAACCGGTAGCCAACATTTTGAGTAGTTTGGAGAACTGGCCAGTATCCTCCTCTGACTGGCCTCGCCCCCATCTCTCCTCTGCCTCCCATTGAGTCCCAGCTGATCGGCTGGGTCTTCTTTGGTTGCCCTGCACAGAAGAATGGAGCTGGAAAGCAGGTTAGTGGGGTGGGGAGGGAACGGGGATTTTGCAGTAACCTTCACCCAGGAGTGGGGAAAGAATGGAGATTCTGCAAACAAATCTACAGGGACTTCATAGGATCATCCCAAAAGGTTCTTTTTTTTTTTTTTTCAAGAGGCAAGTGGAGTTTCTGGTTTTTGTTTGAAGACGTTTCGTTTCTCATCCAAAAAGCTTCCTCGGCTCTGGCTGGATAGTGGGGAATGATTTATATTCAGTGATTCATTTTTTTTTGCTACCAGTTCTGTGGGCGTGGCATGGCTTGGTGGGCGTGGCTTGGTGGGCGTGGCAGGGGAAGGTTACTGCAAAATCTCCATTCCCTCTCCACCCCACTAACCTCCTTTCCAGCTCCGTTCTCCTGTGCAGGGCAACCAAAGAAGACCCAGCCCATCAGCTGGGACTTGGGAGGTGGACAATCGATGGGCACGGGACCAGTCTGGAGGTGGGATTGGCCGGTTCTCTGAACTACTCAAAATTTCTCCAAACCCGGTCAGAACCTGCTGAATACCACCTCTTATTTATATTCCATTCCCCACCATCCTGTCGGAGCTGGAGAAGCTGCTTGGATGAGAAGCAAAACACCTTCAAAGAAAAAAACCAAAAACTCCAGCTGCCTCCTGAAAAAAAAAAAAAGAGCAGCTTTCGGACAACCAAATGACCCGGAGGACTAAGAATCTCCATAGACTTCATACGTCATGTGTGAATGGAGTTCTATGCATCATGAATGAAAAGGAAGGATGCAGCCAGGGTGAAAGGGGCTGGTTTTTGGGGGAGGACGGATGGGGTATTCCTTACCTGGATCAAATCCCTCCACCCCACGGCTCAGCAAGCTCCCATCCAACTGGCAGAAATGAACAATATTATAAAGGGCCGAGATGACCAGTCTCCAGATTCCTGCCATTAAGCCCAGGAGCACATTGATGGGGAAAAACATGTATGTCACAATGTAAAATGCTCTCCTGCAAAAGAAGGAAGCAGAGACGGCCGTGAGTAAAGCATACAAACGCATACACGGATGTACACAACTTGCTGCAACAACATAATGATAAATGTCCAGGTAACATCAATGCCAGTGATGAGGGCTCTCCATTTGACATAATTTAATAATCACCTATTGGTCAACTCCCTGGGTAGATGGTCCCGTTCCAGAAAGTAGTAGCGGACCAGCAGGTTCTGGACAATGAATGAAACAAGCAAGGTCAACCAGAAGGGCCTAGAAAAAAAACACCAAAATCATTGATCATCCAATGAATGAATGTTCAGTTTGACTAAAAGCAACAATTGAGGGGTATAGTAGTGGTTCTAACCATCACATTAGAAGCTAGTGTGATGTTGGGGAAACGGTTGCCATCTAGCTTTGCTGGCTGAGGAATTCTGGGAATTGAAGTCCTCCAGGCTTAAAATTGACAAGGTTGGAGACCCCTGGTGGACTTGTGGACTTCAAGTCCCAGAATTCCTCAGCCAGCAAAGTTGGCTGAGGAATTCTGGGAGTTGAAGTCCACCAGTCTTAAAGTTGCCAAGGTTGGAGACCCCTGGTCTAAACTCAACAACTACATAAAGAGACATTCATACTTCCAAGTTTGGTGGTTTTTAGTTCAGGGAGCTAGGTGGACAGGTCAATAGATGGCTTGGGACCTCTCAACGTTCATAAGGCAGATGAATCGCATTAACATTCTGGGCTTGGCTCTCTTGAACACTTACCACAAGTTCAGCACAATTTTGAAAAGAAACATGTTGCTGCCAGACTGCAGTGGGACAATGATCAGGAAAGTGAAACACACGATGCAAATGAAGAAGACAATGTGCTGGATGAAAAGAGCTGCAACAGAGACAAAAATGCCCGTTGGGTTGCAAAGAAGATCACAGATGGACATCAGTTCTGACCTTGGGACCACCACAGAGATGGGATTCAGCCGGTTCTGACCGGTTCTGGAGAACCAGTAGCAGAAATGTTGAGTAGTTCTGAGAACCAGCCAATACCACCTCCAACTGGCCCTGCCAACCCCATCTATTCTCCGCCTCCCGTTGAGTCCCAGCTGATTGGCTGGCTCTTCTTTGGTTGCCCTGCACAGGAGAACGGAGCTGGAAAGCAGGTTGGTGGGTTGGGGAGGGAAGGGGGATTTTGTAGTAACCTTCCCTTGCCACACCCACCAAGCCATGCCACGCCCACAGAACTGGGAGTAAAAATATTTCAATCCCACGACTCGAACACCATCACCTCCCTCCAGCTGAACCCTTTCCATGCTTTGGTCCAATTGTTGCCTAGAAGGTGGAGTATAAGGCCAGGGAAATAATAAGGACTCCTTCAAGTCAAGTTTGAAGACACATCCATGCAGTTTTCTCGGCAACAGTATGGATGTGATTTGTCATGACTTTCTTTCTTCCAGGATGTTTTTTTCAACTTACTACTCTTTCCCTCCCACCTTGTAAGTTGTGATTAGTGCTCCTCAGTTACCTAGGCAAGCAAAGGATATCTGGAACCCCGTGAATTGCATCCAGCATATGAGCGACTGCTGGGAAGGTTGGAGTTTGCAGGGGCGATAGAAAACATTTTCAACAGCCCCTCGGTAGAGACACTGGAGGTTAGTCCTGAAACGCAAGAAGAACATGTGATCAGGAGGAGGAGAAGCAGGAGGAGGAGAAGGTGAAGAAGAAGGAGGAGGAGGAGGAGGAGGAGGAGGAGGAGGAGGAGGAGGAGGAGGAGGAGGAGACGATGAACAAGGAGGAGGAGAAGGACAAGGAGGAGAAGGAAGAGGAGGAGAAAAAGGAGGAGGAGAAGGAAGAGGCGAAGGAGGAGCAGAAGGAGAAGAAGACAAAGGAGGAGGAGGAGGAGGAGAAGGAGGAGAAGGAGAAGGTGAAGAAGAAGGAGGAGGAGGAGAAGGAGAAGGCAATGAACAAGGAGGAGGAGAAGGACAAGGAGGGGAAGGAAGAAGAGGAGAAAAAGGAGGAGGAGAAGGAGGAGCAGAAGGAGAAGGAGGAGGAGAAGGAGAGGAAGAGGAAGAGGAGGAGGAGAAGAAGGAGAAGAAGACGAAGGAG